AGCACGACATGCTTTGACCTTGAGGCCGAAGTGTTTTGCAACTTCTTTGAAATCATCACCTCTGCATGCACATTCAATTACTCTTCGTCGATCTTCCGCACCGGTGAAACGATAGGGCCTTTTCTGTCCATCCGACTTAACGTTCTAAAGTGTACCTTCCTGCAGTCAGAAGTAACATACCTTGGCCATGTAATATCTGCCTACGGGGTACGCAGCGAGCCGAGTAAAGTTGAGAAAGTAAAGAGCTGGCCCACACCGCAGAATGCAGATGTCCGGAGCCTCTTGGGACTGGCTTCGTATTACCGCAAGTTCATACGAGAATTTTTACATTTAGCCACGCCCCTCACTGAGCTGACGAGTAAAGGGAAGGTATTCAATTGGACGGATAATTGCACCCGAGCGTTTACCCACTTGAAGCAATGCTTGTGTACTGCTCCCATACTGGCACTACCCGACATAAGCGCTAATGCTGGAGAATTCATCCTCGATACGGACGCCAGTGACTCAGCTATCGGGGCAGTTTTACCACAGAGGTCCACCGACGGTCGAGAATTAGTAGTAGCGTATGGTAGCCGCACGCTGAAGAGGAATGAATGCAATTACTGCGCAACCCGCAAGGAAATGTTGGCAGTAGTGTACTTCGTCCGACAATACCGCCATCGTTTGTTGGGACGCAAGTTCTTGCTAAGGACTGACCACGCCTCTCTACAGTGGCTGCAAAACTTCAGAAATCCAGAAAGTCAAGTCAAGTCAAGTCAAGAGCTACTACAAGAGTACCACTTTGATTGTGTTCACCGGCCAGGCAAAAGACACGGGAACGCAGATGCTCTCTACCGTATACCACATCGAGAGCATGCGACATGTCCAACTTGTACCGTCAGCCCTACACTAGCAGTTATTTTACAAGACTCGAACCTTGCAGAGTGGCAGAACGCACAGCAAAACGACCCGGATCTGGCGGTTTCGAACAAAAAACTTGCAGAAAACAAAGGACGGCCGAATCTAGAAGAAATGGCAGCCCGCAGCTGGGAGGCGAAATGTTTGTGGTCGCTATGGTAACACTTACGCCTCGAAGATGGTATTATGTATTTTCAACCTGGGCCAGAATACGCTCGGCAAGTGATAGTACCAGAAACTAAGGTGATCACCCTTCTGAACGAGTTACACATATCATCGGGTCACTTTGAACAAGCAAAGCTGGAATGCGCCGCACGGCAGAGATATTGTGGCCACAACAGAGGTGCGATGTCCAAAATGTTTGTCGAACATGCGGTATTTGTGCCTAGTTCAAAGAACCAACACGACGAAACTGCGTCCCCTTGTAGACCGTGTCCGCCGGCTACCCCAACGAAATAGGGGCACTGGATGCCGTCGGTCCGTTACCCGAAACAGCAAAAGGTAATCGATATATTTTGGTGATGGTGGATCATTTCACAAAATGGTGCAAAGCAATCCCTGTCCCTCGTATCAATGCCGTCTTTACAGCCAAGACCCTCTTTCACAACTGAATCGCTCGATGGGGTGCTCTAAAACAAATCCATTCAGATCGGGAGTCAAATTTCGAAAGAGTGCTACTTCGTGAACTCTGCCAGATCCTGGGTGTGACCAAGTCACGCACTTCAGCATATCACCCCCAAGGAAATGGTGCGGTAGAGCGAGTAAACCGCATTCTCAAAAACTTGTTGAAGACCTTTGTCGATTCGGAACACCCGATNCTTTTCATGGTGACCGGACGTGAAATGCGTATTGCACCCGACCTTTCAAACCCTGTCACCGTCCCCGATGGTCTATTGTCAAGTGAATACATCTTACAGCTACACCAGGCTCTAGCGAATGGGTTCCAATTAGCTCGAGTGCACCTCTGGAACGCCCGTAGGCGGCAAAAAGAATACTATGGCACCAAGGTATTTGGTTCCCCATGTGTTCCCCGGAGATCGTGTCTGGCTACATGTCGAGACTCGTGGACCCGGTGTACCCGCAAAATTCCTACGTGAGTGGCAAGGCCCGTATGCCCTTGTCTCCGTTGCTTCTGAAGCCACCTGCTACATCCAGCCAATAACTGACCCCACAAAGCAACGCTTTCTCGTTCAACCGGTTGAAACCGGACACCACCGCCGACTACTCAAAACCAGCCAGCCCTATGATAGTTGCAGAAGAATGTGAAGTTCCTGCAGAAGGCGGGCTGGCAACAGCACTGAGGACTGCTTAATTCGTAGGGGGGACAAATGGAGTGGCAATAAGCGAGCAGGCATCTTGATGTAAACTAATTTCTCTCGCTCTCGCTTTACTGCAAATTGTTAATCACACTAAAAATTCATCTACCAGGGTACGGAATGCACTTCTTTACTGGACCTTTTGAGAGAGAGAAACAGCTATCGATTGACCGATCAATTAAAACGGTTATCACATTCTAAATTGGCTCATTGAGTCCAGACCGTGATCCATCATTTGCGTTTGGTATGCTTGTATGTGTGTGTGGGTGCCGAAGGGTGTGTCTGTGGGACTGAGGGGTCAAACTGGAGGATGACTTTCGATCGCGTGACATTTGTCATGACCAGCGCTGGTCGGCACCATTGACATTATATCCTAACTGTAACAATGAGCGGAGTAATCCGTGGACATTCGAACATCCGATTGAGAAAATAAGATACCTTTTTCAGTCTTACGCCCATTAACGCCAGATAAGTTGANATAAGTTGACGAACGTCTCTAAAGGAGTCTGATGTGCAGATGTTGCTTCAAATAACAGTACTGGTGGAACGTACTTAAAACATCGACCGGCACGAAAATTCCTTGTCAAATTCTGAGTGGTGAATCCAAAAAGATCTCAAAATGACTGGCCGTTCTACAGGGTAGAGAACTCCCCGTTGATCAAGCGTTGCGTAAAATAAATCGAATGTTTAGGGAATACCAAATACGATAATCCAAGGAAGGTTATGAAGAATGATCATTTAGATAGGTGAAATTTGCAATACCTTTTATAAAAACTGATGTCCTTGTATGGGAACGACAGGGTTGAATAAAATACACTCACCCCGTTTTGTTCGCATTCTTTCCGTTCTTGTTACTTGTACCGATACATCTCGAAACGTGGTATGCAAATTGAGCCAAGATGGATAGGCTACAGGATACCATATAAAAACTGTTGAAATCGATAGACAAACAAATAGTGAGACAGACAACAGACAAAGCGAGGCGGACAGACAGACAGATAGATAGATAGATAGATAGATAGATAGATAGATAGATAGATAGATATTTTGGTGATCGAATCATGCGTAACTGCATTCCATGTACGACCAGGTACAGCTTCATATCATCCATTTAATGTTCAGTATGGTGGACCAATGGTACACCGGACGAACATTATTTCAGAGTTAGTACATGAGATGGGTCTGCACAAAGGGTTAGGCGATTGGACGATGGTTCCTCAGTCAATGATATGGCCTATAACTTCTTATAAATCATGTTCCTTTTTTTACGACTAAACGTAGGCACTTGTTGCTACCGAGTCTCCGTGTATTTCGTTGTCCGCGTAGGAGCAAATCCAGTTCTGAGTATTACAGCACGGGTTCTCGTGTTCCTACATTGAATACAATTCCGATTACTACAGTTAGATAGATGTATTGTTATAGTCTAAATAATAATGGCACATTGTTCTTTTGATGAAATTAAATGTCCTCTGTGGATGTGAATGAAAATTTCCACGTGGGCTAGATCGCTTCAACTTGATGAACCTGATTTCAAAGAATCAGAATGCCCCTTTATGTGTGTTTTGTATTTGAGAAAGAACAAAGTTAGCTGCTTTTGGCTAATTTATACCAATAATTGGATAACACCATGTATGCTTGATAAGCTATTTACATTTTTTGATGTATTTATAGTCAATTCGGCTTTTTAACCAGGCTTGATTCATCATAATTGATATATATTCGTTGAAACTTCTACCTCGAAACGCCACCGGTATCAGATTTAGTCAGTCAAAATCTTTCTGACAAAGGCAACCTCCCTGATAATTTTATGGGAACATCTTTTTTGAAATGAATTCAAGTGATAGAATTGTTAAAATTGATGAAAAATGCAGATTCAACACTCTCATGCCACGACTTTCGCCATCCAGGTTAATTGATCTTCTTAAACAAAACAAAGTAAGCACATGATTCTGAAGAGTTTAGGTTGAATCGCATGTGATTTATCTGACGAAAGAGCGAGTCACCCAAAGAGAATTAGGCGCTTGGCTAGTTGCTCACGGACCACCGGAAAACCTCATCCATCCTGTCAGTCAGCGATGTTACTCTGCCGAAAAGAAGTCAAAATTATGTAATCATCCAAATACGATTGTATCGTTCGGAACGAAACCAAAGGTTTTGAACTGTATCCGGTCGATCGAATAATTATTTTCGCCCCTTGGGGATAGTGAGCCTTAGGGGCAACGCGTAGATCAAACATATCAAGAAATGCGTCGATCCACAATAGTCTTAGGTATTTTTGGCCAATATCATAGAGACATAAAGGCATCCAGACAGAATGTAGTCAAAAACCACATAAAAATATTTGTGGTAACCAAAATAAACGGTGAGAAGAATAAATAGAGATACTTGCCAGGATGTTCACTAGCATATTGAAAGAGAAATAAACAGAGGTAGAATAACTGTAACAAACTTTCGATTTTACTGAATATCCCGTTTGACAGTTTTCATTCACACCCCAATCCGTTGAGGTTGGTTTATCAAACTTAGCTCATTCATTTGATTTGATCTGACTCGGTAACTCACTTTAGTTCAGTGCATTTTTCGCCACTGAACAATCGATTAAGTCACTTGAATAGGCAAGTCAGAAGACAATCACTGAGAGAGGAATTCCTTTCGTATACTCTCATCGGTTGCGTACGAATAACATGGTATGTTGTACATCACCTTTGTCACTGCCAGCTGGACTATCGTACTGGTCACGTGATATGACGATTTAGACGATTATGATGCAGCATCCGAAAAGGAGGAATGCAAAATCAATCGGTCCTATTTGTGACGTTGGGCGGCCTAGAGCTGTATTCCCTGGTGAAGAATCTAGCGGTCCCGAATGTTCCTGCTGAATTGCCGTTCGAGAAGTTGAAATCCCTATTACTGGACCACATTCTCCCAGTGGATTTTCAGGCCACTGAACGGGCCAAATTCTATTCAGTGATCAGAGCTGCCAACATGCCGTGCCGTGAATTCATCCTTCAGTTAAACAAACAGGAGCTAGAATGCAACTATGGTGGTCGATTGGAAGAACAACTTTGTGATCGTCTCGTTACCGGAAGAAACAACATCTCATTAAAACGTAAGATGTTGGAAAAGAAAGACATCACGTTTGCTGAGGCTCGAAAAATCTGTGAGCAAAGTGACGATTTGTGTGCTGCCACAAATGTGTTATTCCATCGGCAATCAACGAAACCATTATGTGACGCACCCAATCTTCAACATTTGCCCTACGTTCCTCAAGTACCCAGTTCAAGCCAAGCACAACCGAAGGCTGCGACCAACCGCTGCTTTTCATGTGGTGAATACCACCTTCGTTCGACTTGTCGATTCCGCAATGCCACTTGCCATACATGCGGTAAGATGGGCCACATCCGCAAGGTATGCCGCATGCCCTCATCGACTCCCATATCCCAACGACAGATGAGAATTCAAGCCCAATCTACACGCTGCAGACCGCTGAACCCAACAACCAGTTCGTGTTCGCCCCACTGAGGTTCGAGTCTGGTGTGGAGCATCGATTCATCATGGACATAGGAAGCAGCGAATCTATCCTACCGAAATCAGCACTCAATGCGATTTGTCCCAATGCTATTCTAGCCCCGACTTCAGTGCGCGTTCATGGGGTTACTGGCCATCAGTTGCAATTACTTGGCGAAACGATGTTGTGCGTTCAATGTGAATCCGATGTTACAATCCCAATCCGATTCCTGGTATCAGCCTACAGTCCGTCTATTCTGGGCCTGCGACCAATGCGGCTACTACAAGAACCAATCACACTACATACCAACAATGATAAACCAATCATCTAACATCTTCAACATTTGATTGTACAGTGTTCCGGTAACGCTGGTGTCATGCAGGTACCGTCGGTGAAGTTGGAAGTGGACGGTGAACCTGTTTTCCTAAAACGACGCGTTCTCCCATACGGTCAACGGGAAGGTGTCCTGAAAGCGTCACAGAAAATGTAACAGGATGGTATGATAAGCAAAGTTGAATCCAGTGCCTGGGCGACCCCGATTGTCGTGGCGATGAAGAGTGATGGTAGGACACCACGGATCTGTGGAGACTATCGGCTGACGTTGAATCCCAGATTGCGGAGATGTGCAGCGACCACCATGAAACCAGAGGATTTCATGAAGTCATTGCATGGTTATCAGTATTTTTCCAAGATCGATTTGGCGGACGCATACCTACAGATTTCACTGGATGTCGGATCTCGCTACTTGACAACAATCAACACGCCGTGGTGAATGTACCTGTATAATTTTCTTCCGTTCGGATTGCATGTGTCGTCTGGCCTCTTTCAATCGGCAATAGACAGTGCAATCAAAGGACTCGACGATGTGCTTGCATATCAAGATGACGTCCTCATTTTCGGCCTCAATAAGAAAGAACACGATGCTCGTCTGACGCAGCTATTGGAACGATTTTTCGCCAGGAACGTGGCTATCAAGCCGTCCAAGTGTGCGTTTGGAGTAAGTGACTTGGAGTTTCTAGAATTCACAGTTGATTCCTATGGATACCGCCCCGATCCGACACGTTTCAAACCATTGACTAACATCAAATCCCCAAAGGATCAAACACATTTGAGATCCGTGATGGGATGCCTACAATACTACTCCCAATTAACCCGAACTTTGCTACCAGGGCGCAGCCGCTTTTCCGTGCTCAATGTTCAGACGTTTGGAAATGGTCGGGGGAGTGTGAAAATATCTTACGTGGCTTAATTCGCTGCGTTACTGATCGTCCTGTTTTTGGCCCCGTTTTCACCATCAAAACCTACTATACTCATCACCGATGTGTCCGACGTCGGAATCAGTTCGGTATTAGAACAAGAGGTATGCCCAGTGATCTGAATTGCACGTTTAATTAATGCGGCTGAAAAGGGATACTTGCAGACTCAAAAGGAAGCGTTGACTGTATTTCGGGCTGTGCGACGATTGTAAAAGTACCTTTTCGGATTGCGGTTCACCATTATCACTGATTACCAAGCGCTACAGTTCTTGTTTAACCCCAACAAATCCATCGCGAAGTTCACTGCTGCTATGCTACAGAGGTGGAGCATCGCTTCAGCCGCATACAACTATGACATCCAACATCGCCCAGGAAAGACAATCCCGCAGGCTGATTTCCTCTCTCGCTACTCACGATTTTCAGAGGCCGAACAGTGTCATTTTATCTCCCAAGCATCACCAGTGTCTCGGGAATCTTTACGCAAATCTATCAAGTAGTACTACTCGGCCATACTCGCAGAGATCAAGAAAGGGTGGTCACCGGAGTTGGACGCAGACATTTACGCAACAGCTAAGAACTGTGAGTCATGTCTACATAAACTACGAACAAGGCCGAAAAACTGGACACCATGGCCGGAAAGTTACACATCATCGCAAAGGGTTCGTTTGGATTTCCGTGGTTTATTTCTGAACCGGTAATACGCTCTTGTTCTGATCGATTCATACTCCAAATGGCCAGAGGTATTCTTCTACTACATAATTTGTGATACAAGAACTATGGAAATGTTTTAGTCGCGAAGGGATTCCACAAGTGCTTGTGACGGACAATGGATCTCAGTTCTGTGCGACCGAAATGAAGCTTTGGATGAATAGCATTGGTTGCCGACATCTTCGAACTGTGCTACGTCATCCCTGTTCGAACGGAGCGGCAGAGAATTTAGTCAAAACGGTTAAGAGTGCGATTGCGTCTGTCAATCCTAAAACGCTACCTGAATTGGAAACGTTGGTAGATAGCTTCCTACTCCAATACCGAAACGCAACACATACAACCACCAAGGAGAGCCCGGCAATGCTTTTTAAATCCAGACGCTTGCGATCCTCCCTACAGTGCCTCGATTCCAGTGACGTCGTATGCTTCCGTGGTAATGATTTGCGACCCGCGTCTGGTATAGTCACACGACAACTCTGTCAAGCCATGGTGAAAATTACCGATTTGAATGATGCAACCGTGCACAAGCAACACGTGGACCAAATCCACTTCAAACCACCCACGGACCAACGGCATCAAGAGATAAGTGAGGGAGACAATCAGTTGCAAACCCCGTCAGAACACCCCATGGAGCCGAATCAGTCAGATGCGCAGACACAAACAATTGAAACGCAAGGACATCACCATGAGTAGGCGGAGCCATCGATTGCAGTCCGCAAGTCTAGCCGTCAGGCGGGGCAGATTGACGAGGCATTCTTGAGGGAAGGGAGTTGTGGTGATCTGGACTTACGTGACC